AGGCAGAGTTACGTATCAAGATGGAGGGAAATGAAATCAGCCACCTGAGAATTTACGTATGTACTTTAAATCAAAAAGAAAAAATTGTATAGGTCTTCTGGACGGGTTCTTCTCAGGCTTTTAAGCCTGAATTTTGCCTGAAACACACAGACTGAAGAAGTCTCTTGGAGGAGAGACGAAACGTTTCATTAGAGAAGAACCCGTCCAGAAGACCTATACAATTTTTTCTTTTTGATTTTTTTACCTGGATTACTGAGATGCATCAGGACATATTTAGTGATGCTTCTACAATCTTCATAATATTACAGAGGAAACCAGATGTTTAAATACAATAATAAAGTTTTTCTTCATGTGGGCAGAGTTCGTCCTAAACGTAATTGGCAGAGTTCTTGATCTGGGRGGGGTTTGTCCTGAACGTGATTGGCAGCTTTCTTGATGTAGGTGGAGTTTATCCTAAACGTGATTAGCGGAGTTTGGACAACAGACGAAGGCTGGGTGTGCACATAACTTGGCAAAATTGTGATTGGTCGGATTAACTTAAATTGTTGGCAATTTAAAAGAGGAAGTAATAATAATTGTAAAATTATTGCAAACATGTAAATGTGATAGATTGACTTAAAATTTTGTGCAGCTACCACTTTCCTCTCTCGAGTTATGACTAAAATTAATATTTATATTTTAAAACCTGTAGGTACTTCTTGGCCCATTCAACCAAGCTACTCTCAGCTGTCCCCGGCTTCTTCAAACCCCACCCAAAATCTTCAATTTAACCAATCACATATTTAACAAATTACACCCATTAAAGTCAAACAGACCAATCCTGTCTTGGACAAACTCCTCCCACAAAAAAAGAAACTTCTACTTAGTGACTGCAGAGACCCCCTTCTCAGAAAAACTAGTATCAGGACACCCTTATTGCTAACATCTTTAAACTTGTGAAGATACATCAACCAATTATATAAATAAACCAGCAGGAAGTACCTGCAGACCTTCCCTGACAGCCTCCAGCAGGTAGGGAACCAGAGAGTAGTTCCACAAGTCTGTGAACCAGACTCGAGAACCTTCTCCATCCATGGGACAGGACAGGAAGAGACGAGGGCCTGTGGGCGGAGCACAGATGATAAAATAAGTCAAACACATGGAGCTAAAATGAAGTAAAGAATATTTAACCTGAGCACCACTGACCTATAGTGACGTCAGAGGAACTGTGTGCCTCCAGGAAGCTGTTGAGGTGCTGCCAGGTTTTGGGGATCCAGTCGATGATCTTAATCAGGTCGTTGCTGCGCATATTCTTGTTGATCTCCGTCTCTATCAGCTTCCTGCGCAGGAAGCGACCCAGGAAACCTTTGATCGGCTCCGTGTGGTTAGAGCACAGCACCCACCTACGACAGATGCAGAGGAGGGAAATTATCACCTCATCAAAGCAATTTGTTTCCCCAATGATACCGTGACAAATGTGACCTTTTATTAGAGTCCAAAGAATCGTGGTCAATTGAATCCAACTGTATTAGAATATCAAATTAATGCCTGGCTCATAAAATAGCCTTTATTAATCACTTTGTACCGAAACGATCCACACTCAGAGTCTGCATCACAGCTTATTAATTTTCATTTTGTCGTGATAATTTTATGGAAGACATTACAGCCCTCACTGTGAAAAACRTTTTTCATTTATCTCAGCTGAACACTAACAGACAAATATGTGTATGGTTCAGTCTTTAGTTTTAAAATAAAACGAATAATCTAGTGGGTTTTTTTTTAGTTTTTTGTATTAAAAAAACTAGAAAATATTGAAAAATGACAATTGCAAAATTGAAAAAGGCAATTTTTGTGTTTTATTTTTCATTTTTTTGATTTAAGCAAAGACAAGCTTTATACTTAGCACAGCATTTGTTACTTTCTGGCAGAACCGTAAATCACTGTGTGCTGAACTCCTGGCGCGTTATGTTTTCACTTTGCACTTTAGAAACAGCCTTTCAGTCAATACATCTTTTTTTAATACTTTATTTTTGATATGTTTTTTATACAGAACAGCAATGAGAAAGAAGAAAGAAATAAGTAAAAGAAGAGTAAAAAAATAAAAAGATAATAAAAATAATGATACATTAAAAAATAGTCACAACAAGGACATTAAACAGCACTCAGAACAGTGAGGTCACCAAGGGAGGGAGACAGCTACACTTCACAWAAAGATAAAACTGAAACTGACAAATTCTGACAGTCGGGTTACTYTAGATGTAAAGTTCCATGAAGAGTCAAACAGGTGGGAGATTTACCAAGTCATGCAAATCTGCCCCGTATTTCATCCTTAATAATGATTTGCGATGCTCAGCCTACTATCGAGTTCCTATATGTAAACCATTTCAACAAGTGTTTTTTGATTTTGTTTTCCTGGAGTCTTAGGGAAAACGTTAGCATTTCCATTTCACATATTTCTTCTACTATGGCTAACCAGTCCCTCAACATCGGTGGGCTCCCACTAAGCKACTTTCTTGTTATTGATTTCTTACTTGCTACTAGTAGTATTTTCAAAAGGTACTTATCCTGAGTGTTGAGTTCACTTGGTAAATTACCCAGATATATAGTTTTAAAGTTATGCTTTATTTCAAATCCAAGAATTTTTCTTATCCCTTTGGTAACCTTTGACTGGTAGGAATACATCAGTGGGCAGCCCCAGAAAATGTGGAAGTGGTCAGCCATCACATTATTACATTGTCTCCAACAGTGCCCTGATTCGGTCCTGCCGGTCTGAGAGGATGTTCTTTTGGGGGTTATAAAAAATCTAACAATATTCTTCCATGAAAATTCCCTCCAATGTCCTGAGCTTGTGGTAGTGGTAATTTGGCATATGTTTAGCCACTCATCCTCCGTCAGCGTTATTTTTGCCTCCCTTTCCCATGAATTTTTAAAATATATTGTTGATGTATTTTTTTTTGGCTTCTAAGCACCCATATATTCTGGACAGCCTCTTCTTATAGGATTTACCTTTATAAGCATCAATAAAGATATTAATGAGGTATTGATCATCTTTTTCCAATGTTTTAATGTTCTTATTAAAGTAGTGCCTGAGCTGCAGGTATCAGAAAAAATCTTGTTTGTCAAGGTCAAATTTTTCTCGTAATTGTTGGAAACTTTCCAGATAGGCACCAGAAGAAATCACACAGTATGAAGTAATATCTTTCCTGGTTAGTTGTTTGAATTTTGAATCAAGTTGTGCTGGTACAAAATCCCTATCATGTTCAATCCATCTTAATAAGTGAGTTTTCCTCTCTAAGAGTGGGTTGCGAAACTCTCTAAACCAGATGTTGAGAGGGACTTTTGTGGAGACACACAATTCATCTGCATGTTTGTTCTTGAGATGTTTATCCCCCAGTAGGGTTTGCAGGGGATGTCGATTTGGCTTAATTCTAGATCTTTCCATTTTGCTTCATACCCTTCTTCACATCAGTGAAGTCAAATTGCAGTTGTGCTGCTTTGTAATAATTTTCCAAACATGGGAGAGACATTCCTCCTTTGTCCCTCGGTATTTGTAGCATTTTGTAGCATACCCTTGGTTTCTTATTTCGCCATTTAAACCTGGAGATAATCCGGTTTCACTCATTAAACTGCTTGGTAGGAATTTCTATTGATAATGATTGAAATAGGTACAGCAGTTGAGGTAAAATGATCATTTTTATGATTTCTATTCGACTGTACAACTCAAGCGTTAGTGGGGCCCATCTGTCCAAGTTATTTTTTATTTTATTAGTCATAGAACCATTATTTACTTTGTATATTTTGTTTAAATTTTTGGTAATATTAACACCTAAATATTTCATGATTTTTGTTTTCTAGTTAAATCTGAACCGATTACTTATATCCTCTTGGGGTGAGTAATTAAAGCAGAGAGTCTGAGTTTTTCCAATATTTAATTTATAACCTGAATAAAGTCCAAATTGGTGGAGGCAGGACATGAGGTGAGGTAGACTGGCATCTGGGTCAGATAAGGTCACCAGAACATCATCGGCGTATAGACATGTTTTGTATTATCTTCCCTTAAATATGA